ATTATAAAAAAATATTGACAAAAAATAAAAATTTCTAAAATTATTAATAATAAAAATATTAAAACTTTAATTTGATCTTTTCATTTTTAGTTTCTCTATTTAAAAAAAATGTCTTTTTAGTTTTTAAAATTTGAATCCTGATATTTTTTTAGTCTATTCATTAAGTTTTTATTTTGTGGTACATTATATTAACAAAAATCTTTAAATATATGTACTAAAAAAAGAGTTTTTTTTTAAATAGAGAATTAAGAAATAATTTTTTGTCAATGTAGAGAGACCAAATTAATTTTATTTTTAGTTATTTTTTATCTTTTTATTTTTAAATTTTGATTATCTAATATGAAACGTAACATAAAATTTATAAAATAATTTAAAAAATCAGATTTTAAAGTTTAAAGATAAAAAAAAACCTTTTTATAGTCTTTTACAAAAAAATAAAAGGAAAAAAAAAAGTGAGGATTTAACTTAATAAAAAAATAACATACGAATTGCAAATAAGGAGTTGTACGTACTAATTTGTCCCTTTCGTGATCAGAATAAAAAAATCTCTTTTATTTTTATGTAGAGTTTCAACGTCATCCAGCCGCATCCCTGTCCCCCACCAAAACCATCAGCGTCCCAACAAGAAATGCCAGCTGCCGAATCCTCGGCGAATATGTTATAACTTATAACCACATACGCCTTGAGTTCAGGTCCCTCGTCAATGGTAATAAAAGCATTGACTAGTTTTAGTTTAAAAACACCGGTTTAGATCTCGCTTTAATTGTTAAGTTAGTTCTGATTTTATCAGTTGTTTTTAAAGATTACTCCTTTTGTCTCTAGCAATAGTTGTTAAATTTGTTTTTATTTTGAAATTAAAAATTTAGAGAAAATTTTTACCTTATTTATTTTAAAAAAAAATAAAGAGATTTTTTATATGATAAAATGAATAATTTAAACTAAAAAATATTTATTTAATAAAAAAAATAAATTTAGAGAAAATTTTTACCTTATTTATTTTTAAAAAAAATAAAGAGATTTTTCATGATTGAATGATTAATTAAAGTAAACAGATAATGATAGGGTTAAATTATAAAAAATATTTGATTATTTTAAAAAATAAAA